TTTTAATTAATTAAATTAAACTTAAATAAATTAATAAAAATTATATGTTTAAAGATAAATTTGTTAATTTAAAAATTCAAAAAATACTTAGATCAATGACTTTTAACAGTTTTAAAATTTACACTTTTATATACAAAAAGATAGATAAATGATCATCTTGATATATAATTATTATCTAAAAATAATAAATTTTATGTCAATCTAATATATTTTTCACTGAAACAAAGTTTAAATGTTATAAAGTTTAAATATTTTTTTGGCCACTGAGTTAATTTTAAAAATTTGTACAACATACAACTACATATCAATATAATTATTCTCTATAAATAAATGTTCAAGTGCAACTTATGTGACTACCACAATCCTCGCTTACAGATAAAAAAAAAAAAGGAAGAGGCTTTTTTCCCTCACAACGGGCCTTTTCGTAAAGGTTGAACTCTTGTTCTTTTTGAAAATTAGCTGTAAGTCAGGAAATGATCGAAAATAGTTTACTGTAGTATATAAATTACAAAAACAGGATAAATGGGGCCAAAAAAGAAACCAAAATGAAAAACTACATGCGCAAATGTGAACAATGCGAATCTAAAATACAAAACCAACTCTGCCTGAAGACCTTCTATTTGCAGAAGTGGTCATCTAGGAGGGATGTGAGATGTGTGGAGTCTGAAATTATCCAATTAGTATTCAGGCGGTTGGGTACTCATGGCTGAACATTTCTTCCTCCTCCCACTCTTCCCATCTTTCAGCCAAGCCGTTATGGTTAAGCTCTTGGCCAAACATTTCTTCTTTCTGCCACTCTTCCCATCTTTCAACCAAGCCATCACCCTCCAGCATCATGATGACTTCAGACATCTTAGGTCGTTTCATTGGGGAGCCTTGAGTGCACAAAAGAGCCACCTGGATTAGCTGTTCCACTTCTTCGACTATGTAATTACCCTCAAGATCCAAATCAACCAGCCTTTCCAACCTCCTGTCTTTCACATGCCCTTTTACCTGAAATTTCAGCATCGCTGTCAAGTTGAAGGGGAAAAAAAAGAAACAGAAACCATTTGTACCATTGATAAGCTTCACTTGAATTTGACATAATTGCGGTTGACAAAGATGTGAATCTTAATGGCATCAAAAAAAAAAAATGCAGCAAAGATCAATGTCAAGATTGTAGTAGTTAATTACATAGGCTTCCAAAAACCATTTGTTTTAAACCAACTTCATTTAAAAACAAGCATACCCAAAATTAGTGAACAGAAAGGATCTTAGGAACCCCCACGTATCTTGACTGCTAGCAACTTCAAGAAAAGAAAAGATAGCATCACCCAACAACTATTTTATATTTTCTTTTTCCCTCTTCACCTTGTAGAGAAAACAATTTCAAGTTTCAACTATTTCTACTTTTCTGCTTTTGCATTTTCACCTTGCAAGGAAAATAAAATAGAGCTTCACTGTGTTATAAGGGTAGTTCTGCTATACTGTACTTTTATCTATTGCTTTTGGCCAACCAAGTGAAACAAGAATTGAATAATTCCAACACTAGACAAGAATGACAGACACATGTAATAGGAAAAACAGTATATACCCAGTCAAGCAACATGACATCTTCATCATTTGCAAGCCGAGCAAGATTGAAAGCCTTCTGTCCTGTAAGGAGTTCAAGAAGCATAACACCATACCCAAAAACATCAGTTTTCTCTGATGACTTTCCAGTTGATAGGTATTCAGGAGCTATATGACCAATTGTGCCACGAACAGCAGTTGTCACATGAGTATCTTTATAGTCCATCAGTTTGGCCAGCCCAAAGTCTCGAACTACTGCTTCAAATTCCTCATCCAACAATATTTTTGCAGCCTTCACATCACAGTGTATAATCTTAGGATCACAATGATCATGCAAATATGCAAGCCCCCTTGCAGCTCCCACTGCAATCCGTTTCCTTATAGCCCAATCAAGTGGTGATTGAGACTCCGGACGCCCTAGAGAATGTAAAAATCAGATGAACAGATGGTCCATTGTAACAAGAAGAGATCACAAAGTATTTGGATTCCATGAATTTCTCAAAATTCCACTTGGATTCAAAGACAATCCACATTTACCAAATGTATGAAATTATCAGAAGAAAGTCAAAATGTTTTAGAACGAGACTATGATATGTGATCGGTGGTTCAAAATTTCTTCTCAAACTACAGAAACAATAGAGCAGATATTGATATATGAAGCTCACACAAGAATAAATAGTTTACATCTGAAATGAATTGGTAACCAGAAGAAAACATATAAAATAAATAACACACATAATATAAATGCAATGCATAAACAAGAAACATGACAAATGAAATAAATAAGGAAACAAAGAGCCGGTACCTCTTAAACAGGATTCAACACTACCATTAACCATAAAGGGATAGACTAGCAGCCATTCTGTAGGGGTCATGCAAAAGCCACGGAGACGTAGCAAATTCCGATGCACAGCCATACTTATCATTTCTACCTCTTTTTGGAACAGCAACTCTCCACCTGGAGTACGGTCATCTTTAAATCTTTTTACTGCCACTAGAGAACCATCAGCTAAGCGACCTTTGTAAACTTCACCAAAACCACCTCTACCCAGAATGTTTTTGTTGCTGAAGTTATCTGTTGCCACTTGTAGTTCACGCAAAGAAAACCTTTGAAGTTTTCCCAAATGAACTTCTAGGACCTCCTCAGCTATAAAGAAAATTAGAAAAATGAAGACATGCATACAACGGCATAGTATCAATTAAAACTATCTTTTGAAAAATCACTAACCAGGTACATTAAAGAAATGATCCTGTGGTTTCCTTCTATGCCTCCAAGCAAGTAAAATTGCAGGAGCAGCAAAAAGCAGGGTAGCTCCAGCAGCAACTCCAGCAATAGCACCAGTGGCACTATTACCTGCCAGTATAAGTTAGATAAATATAGATACTGCCAAGACACCTGTAACGCGAATACTCATAACTATTACTAACATTTTCAGCTGGTAACAACACCAATGCAGGAGGCAACATTTCAACTGAGAGAACTTCTGGACTGGGGGTATTAGAGGTGGAGCTCATGTTCTAGCCCACTAAGGAACCTAAAGCCGTTCCTAGGTACATCATCAGATTTTAGATCTGAACTCAAAGGTAAATTCTTAAAAAACAGACCCAGATAAGGAAGTTCAGGATGTAATATACTCAACCTACAGCAATTCTTAGTATGTTACAGAAACATGGTAATACCAAAACAGTTGTTAATGCAAAGGAGAATTCCATGGAATACCTCAAGAAAAAGAAGAAATACTAATAAAAGAGAAGCAGGCCCCGAAGTTAGGCACAGTTTAGAGTTATTAGCAGTGATAATAATAATAAAATCAATAAAAAACCTGATGGAGTTGGAGCTGTAGGTGAGATAGGAGGTGGTGGAGCAGGTAGAAGATTATTCAGTCGATTATTAGCAAAACTGAAAAAAAAGATGCAGCAATTTAAGACATGGCCTGAGAGTATTAAAGATAAAAAAATGGGAAAAAGCAGTGGTGGTGAGGGTCAGGAGTCGGGTGATAGGGTGAGAGCAAAATGAGATAGAATAGGAAAAAAACCTCATAGGTGTTAATACTGAAAAGGAACCATTAACTGGAATATCACCTACTAACTGATTGTTTGAAAGATCCCTGCGTCACATAATTAATATGTTGTTCTAGAAGTTAAGGTTGAACTGGCTAATGCAAAAAAAAATCTGACAGCACCACTCACAGCACTTGCAGTGACTTAAGAGTAGTTAAGGACCTAGGAATTTGTCCAGACAATTTGTTGTTGTTGAGACGCCTATTCCACATAAAGAAAGCATTAATTATATTGCATATTGATGAGATGATTAGATATGTAACGGATAAAAACTCATGCTTAGTGAATAATATTAGCACAGATATAATTAAAAGAAAAAGTCTATGGCACTAAAGAAACCATTTCTATATCTATATAGCCCATATCACCTAAGAATAACTGGCCCAACAACCTTTTAACCTAAACCATGTGGCCCCCAAAGCTTAAGCTCCAGTAGCTAATAATAATTGACTTGGATCCCTATATGGGTTTTAATAATGACACTCACATCAGATGTAGTAAGGGTATCACAGCCCAACCACTAAAATTCTTGATGTCCACGTCAAGGCAACACATCATGATCACAATTAACACCCACCACATACCAAGATCTCACTAGCGCAAAATGAGAGCCCACAACGGGCTAGTTTTTGTGAGTTATGATCCACTGTGAGCCAGAATGCCAAAAGCATCTTACAAGCGTAGGTATAAGTCTAACATATACCTAATGAGGTATTTGGGGGATTACAATGTCATCACCTAGAATTCACTCAGTTTAATGTTTTCCACCTGTTGGTTGTTACACTTGATGTCCAAACAAGATCATGAATAAAGAAGAGAAGAAAGGAATACAGTACAGAACTTCGGAGTTAACACCAACAACCACAGTGGAAGGGATTTGGTATTTGGACCTTAGCTAGTCTTTGGTACCATGATGGTCCATTTGTAAGGTTCGTTTAGATAAAAAGTTATCCTTTCTGGAAGCTCACAACTAAACAATTGGGTTTTTCAAGCAATCAAAATGTCCTCTCAGTTCAGTGTCATTGGTAGTTTTAGGTTTTATTCCTAATCTAATAATTTTAGCTGTCCTAATCCAATTATGATTAGCTAAGTCCATGCAAATACATATTTTTTATCCCCTTTTTTTTAGATTTAGTAGACTTCTATAATGATGCATACTGATAAATTCTTGGAGGGCTCTAAAGTTGTGAAATTAAGATTCCATTTGAATTGATATTTTTGCTATTCGCTTTTTATTTTTTAAAATTTCTAACCAAATGCAAACGATAAAACGCAATATTATAATAGATTTTAAATGGACAAAATAGCTTAAAATGTGAAACCAATTATAATATTATCGGTCTATATAGAAGTAGGATCATGCATTTTGTCATCTACAAGATCTATATACTTTGTCTACAATCCTTCAAATTTTTAATCGCTTTTGCATCTAAATGAGCTTTTTGATTCTTTAAAGCAAATAGCAAAAATGCTAACTAAACGAAGCCTCAATAATTCCTTCTTCTTCTCTGTATTGCTAAAATGTTCTGAGTTGGGGGAAGGGTTGAAAGACATGCACTAAATTACAGTATCCCAATAGGTTTACCTCTTATCCACTCTGTCCTATAAAAACCTACTAAAAGAACATTCTGCATGTGTAGGAAGAGAAGAGGAAATACATAACATATTATAAAGCACATACTCTACTAATAAAACCATTTACCAATCCAATTCACAAGCAATATATCAACATGTAAAAGCTGTCTAGATATACTAAAACAGATATAACTAGAAAGCAAGAGAACAAAGAAATTAGATAAATTAACCACATAAAATGTGTTCGTACAGGGTATGTAGTTTTGGAAGCTTGCCCAGAGTAGTTGGAATGTTCCCGGTTAAAGCATTCCAGAAAGATCCAAGCTCACCAAGTTTATCAAATTTCCAAGCTCCTCTGGGGTTATTCCAGATATGTTATTGTTATAAAGCCTCCTGTCATGAAAAATTGACTTAATAATTCTTGGACAAAGTCACAAAGCTAGTTCAATAGAAGCACATAATTCAAGTATCTTTGTATGAAATGTGCAACCAAATCAAATGGAATGCAACCATCTTCATGATTAAGCATAAGCAATAAAAACCAGTGCATAGCAAAAAAAGCACACAAAATCTGTGCTCTCAAATATTTTTACTTTTTCTAAGGTTGAGTGCCAGAAATTTCACCATGAGTTTAAACTCAGGTATTTTTCTAGCAAGTTATGATTATTCGATATTACACAGTTACAAATTTAAGAAAAACGATTCCAATGAAACTTATCTACTAAAACCAAGTATTGGGAAAGAATCTAAAGGAAGCCCTAAAACAATAAAAAAAGTCAATTAATTATTTGGCAAGCATCATTTTGTCATCTAAAAGAACTATATTTTTGTCTACAATCCTTTCAAATTTTTATTTGCTTTTGCATCTAAATGCTCTTTTTGCTTTTTTAAAGCAAATAGCCAAAAAGACAACTAAACGGAGCCTAAATAATTCCTTCTTCTTCTCTGTATTGCTAAAATGTTCTGAGTTGGGGGAAGGGTTGTAAGACATGAACTAAATTCAGTAATCCCAATAAGATTTACCTACCATCCATCTTGTCCTGTAAAAACCTAACTAAAAGAACATTCTGCATGCGTAGGAAGAGAAGAGGAAATACATAACATAACATATTATAAAGCACATACATTCTAATAATAAACCAATTTACCATCCAATTCCAGCAAGCAATATATCAACACGTAAAAGCTGTCTAGATATACTAAAACACATACGACTAGAAAGCAAGAGAACAAAGAAATTAGATAAATTAACCACATAAAATGTAAAATGTGTTCATACAGGATACGTAGTTTTGGAAGCTTGCCCAGAGTAGTTGGAATGTTCCCGGTTAAAGCATTCAAGGAAAGATCCAAGCTCACCGAGTTTATCAAATTTCCAAGCTCCTCTGGGATTATTCCAGATATGTTATTGCCATAAAGCCCCTGTCATAAAAAATTGACTCAGTAATTCTTGGACAAAGTCACAAAGTAGTTCAATAGAAGCACATAATTCAAGTATTTGTATGAAATGTGCAACCAAATCCAATGGAATGCAACCATCTTCATGATTAAGCATAACCAATAAAAACCAGTGCATAGCGAAAAAAGCACACAAAATTTGTGCTCTAAAATATTTTTATTTTTTCTAAGGTTGAGTGCTGGAGTTTCACCCTGAGTTTAAACTCAGGTATTTTTCTAACAAGATATGATTATTCGATTTTATACAGTTACAAATTTAAGAAAAATGATTTCCAATGAAACTATCTACTACAACCAAATCTTGGAAAAGAATCTAAAGAAGCCCTAAATAAATAAAAAAAAGTCATTAATTATTTTGGCAAAGCATGCTGCTGTTCTGTTTTTCCTTTATTTATTTATTTATCTTTTGCTGCTTAAAAGAAATTCTAACAATGTGGAGCAGCATGTAATCACCAGGGGCAAAAGCTATCCACTTACAGATACTGCAAATTCATAAGCTGCCCGATCTGTGGAAACCAATTGACCAGATAGACCCGCATTCCCAAGATCACTAAATTGACAAAAGGAAAAGCATTTATTAAGCCAAACTAGAAACTCGAAAAGTAACATCAACTGCAAGTAGCAAAAAGGTATATTATAAGAAACTTACACTCTTGTTACACTTTTTTCACTATTACACGTGACATGAAACCATGTGCAAGGATTAACAAGGGTTGAGTCCAACTTTGCAACACATTATTTTGGGTCAATCAAATTGGCCTTCAAAGCTTCAAAGCATCACCTGTTTCATTACATAAACCGAAAACTCCAATGGAGATCAAATCATATTATGAAACTATTTAAACAGTTGGGATGGGCCAAAACTCAACCATAAGTTGGAAGGTTCATCACAATAAACATAATACTATCCAGACGTCAGACATTGATGAAGAAAAAGCATTGGTTAATTTCACCTAACTGAATATGGAGAATTAGAACGTAAATCATATCCAAAATTTTTGCAGAAATTAATCATTACGAAGCGTGCAACTATCCCTTCAGTCATGTCACTTAGTGCACTGAGGCTAATTGAAATTTAAAACAAGCAGTCAAGCCTCATGCCACTTCTAAACCAATCCAAAATTGCTACTAATTTCTTCTAATTTGAATCTCATAAAAAAATCAGAATACAAAAATAAAAAAATAAAAAATGAAAAAATTGTATAAAATAATTTCATCATTCCAAGATATATAATTTTTATTTAAATTATATCACATAATCATATTATTAAAAAAATTATAAAAAATTATAATTTTTTTAATAATATGATTATATAAACTCAATTGTTTCATTCAATCTTTTACCCAAAAAAAAAAATATAACGAACCTTCCGCATTTCCCGCAACTCTGAAAACCAAATACAACACCAAAATCAACCATGAACAAACGGAGATGAATCGCTCCATCAATTTTTTTCCACTTTTGATTTGAAGAGTTAAATCCCCAAAATCGTCATCAATCTTCCACTTTGACGAATCGTTGACCCATCAATTCGGTCTAAAACGGGCATCCGAAATCACACACATATTGGTCGTTGACCGAGTCAAGGAGCAAAAAAACAAAACGAAAACAAACAATAAACTTCGAAAAGACTCTTCTCTGAATAAAAAAGCCAAGTGTAAAAGGAAAAAAAAGATCGTTCCATCAAAGATTCCAGAAAATTCTTGGCTGTCTTTTTTTCTCTCTCTTTGTCTGACATAACAAAATTATCTTCTTCTTTTTTTTATTTTCTCTCTGAATTTTGGAGGAAATTGGAGAGAGAGATTGTGTTTGGTAAGGGGCAAAGAAGGAAAAAGAAGGGAAGGGAGGAATGTGAGGGGTTTTCTGTTTTTGGGGTAGAGTTTTTTCAACTACGAAAATGCTAGATTAGAACAGAGTTTTTTTTTTTTTTTTTTTTTTTCTCTTTCTTTCTGGAATTTTATTTTTATTTATCAATTTTATTGTTAAATTTACATAATTAAAAAAATAACAAATGAGAGATAAAAAAATAAATGAAGGTAATACGTGAATATTTTAATTGATTTTATTTTTTTATAAAATTTATTTAATTAAAAAAAAGTACAAAAACAAAAAAAAATAAAAAATAATAAAAGTTTATAAATGGTGCCAGAACATTATAATTTAAAATATATATAATAATAATATACATATATATATATATATATATACACATAAAAATAATTGAGAAAAAGTATACTAACACGTTTCCATGATCTCGTTTTTTTTCAAAAAAAGAAAAACCTAAATTTCGTCTCAACTCGGTTTTTGATTAAAAAGATTATTCTTTTATCGGGTTAAAATAAATCAAAATTTATTGAATTAGAATTATTTTAGTGTATTCTTCGAAGAACATATTTTTTTAAAAATTTATTTAATTAAAAATTGAATGTCCCACATAACCATTTCTATTGCCCTCTTTTTTTTTTCATAAAATTAATTTAACTTAAAAAATCATAAAAACAAAAGAAAAACGTAAAAGAAAAAATAAAAAAAAGTAAAAAATAAAAATAAAAAATGAAAATAAAATAAAACTCACTGGGTTAGAACATGACATTTTATTTAAGTTTAAAATGTTAATATATTAAATTAAGATATTAAAAATTAATCCAATTAATTAAAAATAAAAAAATTTAGGAAAAAAGAAACAAACAAATAAAAGAGAAAAAATCAAAAGAAATAAAAAAAATAGAGATTATCATACTGTTGTATAAACATCCAAATCGAGCTAAAAATATTAATATCTTAAAGTAAGATATAAAATAATAACTTAATTAATAAAATACATACATATAAATATAAAATTAAATAGATAATGAAATATAGATAAAAAATATTTTTTTAATCAATAATATCAAATGAAAATCACTAAAAAATTTCATAATATTAAAAAATATTTATCAAATATTAAAAAAATAAATAAATGACTTAACACATGATATATTTTAAGAATCAAGTGAGTCATACAAAAAATTTTAAAATCATTAAAATATTTATTAAATATATAAAAATAATAAAAAAATGTAAAAAAGTAAAAAAAAAAAACAAATACATGATATAACTTTCATATCATGTGAGTTCATAAAAAAATTTAAAATCTAAAAAAATATTTATAAAAATGTAAAAAAAAAAAAAACAAAAGAAAAAAAGGTAAAAAAGAAAAATTAGGATAAAGCAAGTCCCACTTTTAAAACTTTAAACGTAATTTTCATAGATGTTATAACGATTAAACACAAGTCTTTAATTGAAAAAAAAAATAAAGATATTACAAAATAAACCTATCATTTATACTGTTCTATTATTTCTACCAGAACAGTAGAAACATTTCTTCCTGGCAGCCTGACTAGAACAGTAGTGAAGAGATATTCTTCCCATATCTACTGATCCATATAATATAAACTGCAGTAAAAGGTGTTAGATATACAAGGAAAGCAAAATGAGCAATGGAAATGCAGTATAAAAACACAATGAACAACAAGAACGCTCCATATTTAAGACTTCTTATTGTTTTTCCTTTGGGTGCCTAATTCTCCGTATCGAAACTGTTAGAACTAATTCAAGCTCACGAAGTCACTGATTTACGCTTAAAACTAAAATTAAAGCTGAAACCCATTGAACCCAAATTGTTGGGGTTATTACCGATAATAGAGCCTCGTCAGAGTTGCATTTGGTGGTGGCTGAAGCTGGTCTGGTTCTGGTTGCCCATGCGTGGAGAGGAGGCTGCACTGTTTGAGAGAGGAACTACACTCTTCCCTCACAAACTGAAGTTAGTAATGTTCAATGTACTAGCATTACATACATGGAGAGGATGAGTGTAGGGACCCTCTCATTTACTTGCAATGTCCCATCCCATTATGGGATCTATACAAGAACAACAACATATCACATTTAATTAATATAACACCACTATAATTATTCATAATTTAACGTTAATTAACCTCTGAATTAATTGACTTTATTTGTCTATAATATAAAATAAAATAAATGCAACAATCTCTCACAACACAAGCCAAATTTGAATATTTTGAAAATATAGCATAACTTATATATACAAAGTTGTACATTTAAAATCCAAATTCGGATACACAAAATGATTGTAATCAAAATTGTCAAATACCAATAAATAGTTGAATCATCATATAACAAAATGAACATTTATAAATATCAAAATACATTATACCAATATAGTTCAAATGTATGGACTTATATGCCCATTACAATCACAAGTATTTATAAGTCTCAAAATGTATTATATTAATAGGAAACATATATATAGATTTGTCTATACTTTACCAACAGTAGTAAGTATTTATGAGCCCTTAAAATACTGGGGATTCAACTATGATTACTAGTAGAAACAAACCTTGAATTTTCATCTTGAGTGTTAGGCTAATAAAAATACCATGAACTTAATAAAACCAATGATAGGGAGATCAAAAGTTGTACATACCACACTTATGATGATTTATTATTAATTTATTGATGATTTAATAAAAAATTATCAATGATTAATTAATTTATTATTAAATTATCACTTATTTACAATTAACTTATTAGTAATTATTACTATGTTATTAGTGAGTTATTATTAAGTTATCAATTTATTATTAAATTATTAATAATTTACTATTATATTATTATGTATTTACTACTATATTATCATTGATTTACTGCTTGCTTTTCTATTATTTATCACAAAATTATTATAGATTTTATTACTAAATTATTTATGATTCACTATCAAGTTATTACTGAATTATATTAAATTATCTATGATTTAATATTAAGTTATAACTGATTAACTATTAAGTTATCGATAATTTACTATTAAGTTATATTAATTTACTTTTAATTTTTAATAATTAAGTATTAAATTATCAATTATTTATTACTATGTT